TCCTGTATATAAGTGCCAAATCCATGCAAACTGCAAATTACATCAGATAACCTTCATCCTATAATAGACTTTATACAAAAATAAATAAAACTCAAAATCTCATCTCGCAATGAATTCCATTGTATAAATATAAAACTTTTGTTTGCATCTGAATTACAATATTGACATTTCTATGGTAATGCAATCTCCTATTGTAATTGCAATAAGGTCGGAAATATAATTATGTATCCAGAACAATTAATGTGATAGTGGAATGTTATTTAATATATGAAGATATAATAAAAAATATCTTTACTTAGTACAGTTGTTATATGTTCTTGAGTAATATTCTCATTGTAAATAAAACAAAACAAAAAAAACTTATACATGATATTTGTTTGGACTGAATTTATTTCATACTTTTGTCTGCGGGCTATGAACCCACATTTGCATTTCTATTCAAGTTTCTGAATACAGCTATATTTTTATTAAAACTATAAATTTCATTTTCATTTCTTTTCAAATGTATCCAATCAGAATTCTTATACATACAATTAACAAAAATTGTATTTTGATTCAAGCTGTTATTTATTTTCATTTTATTGAGTATTAATTTTACAGAAATATATAAAACAGATTTTATTTGATAGCCCAAAAATGCATACACATGACTAATCACAGCATTGTTCTTCATAAATATCTAACTTTCCAAGCTATCAAGCTGCCACAGTTATTCTAAGCTCAATAGTTCAATATTGCCATAATTAGTAAGCAAATTTTTTTTAATTCAAAAGTCACTAAATAATAGATATACATACAAAAAATATATATCTATGTAACAATATGGGTTTTAACGACCTATGCTGAACGTAAGAGATCAACAATAAAAAAAAAATTATGTTAAAAATTATAGCCGATTTCAAATCTAAGGTATATTTTAATTTTCATTAGTAGCAAAGAAAATTAATGCTTATACTTACTAAACTAATAAATATAAATTTTACACTTACATAATCAGTACCTTCACTCCAAAATTGAATACCTAGTCACATTATGTAAACACTCCATTAATGTCTACAACTTTTTTATAATATAAATGATTACTAAATGAGAAACTGGATATCAGTTTTATAGAGTGACAACGCAAACTTGAATTATGTATTACTTTTACTGAGATCGCTGTCAAAAGACACTACACAAATATGGGTTTATAGATTTTTTAATAATATCCTAATAACTTTTAGAATTAAAACAAAATGAGGCTAAGATTAAAAAAGTAATTATATTATGTTAGCAAAATATATGAAAATGTAAATACACATGAAGATAAAACTATTTATTTAGTATGTTGGAGTAAGTACCAAATATAAGATTTTTATTCATGATTTGCTTTATCTCATAATACCTTGAGATTATTTCAAACATTTTCCTTGTAGATCATCTATTAAATATATATGAGAAATAAAATTTTCATAACTCTTCATTTTAATCAACACTCGATTTCAAGAAGTCATGATAAACAAATACAACGGTATAACAAACCTAAAATGTAGTAATCAGGTTCAAATAACTTCGAATAATCATCCAAAGTCTTTATTATTGAATATTATAAAGGAATTATACTCTTAAAATGTACTATATGATATATTTTCAGACTACAGTCAGTAAAAGTGTATTTGATATATGAAAAGATAGTTGTATTAATTAGGTTAGCTATTACCATTTTAATAAGAGTATTGTAATTAAGATTACATATATACAATAAATTAAATTAAAATGTTTTATAATTAATTTAATATGTAGATAATTTTATTGATGTTTTATTTACAGTAACAAACACATATGAATTAAAACTTAAGAACAAAAATTATGATTATAATATCTGTTTCAACTAAAACAGGTTTCATATTAAAATTTACATTAAAAATTAATATATGGTAAGCAAAAAACCACAAGTTAACTGAATGACAAGTTAAGATGGTATTTTATATACATTCATATATATTAAATATATTCCATTGTTTTCATATCAAAAAATATTGTATTCGTTGTTGAAAGTTGATGAATATTTGTATATAGTACAAAATATTGTGGGTAAAAAAGACTATCAACAATTTCCTAACTGCCTTTAGTAATTCCGGCGGAACTTTGACTGTTCCTTGACGGAATATACCCTGAAGTGCCCCATATACCCTATGTTTACTATACTGTTTTTCAAATGTTACCAAAATATCTCATTATAGCTTAAATTTTCAGGTAGCAGGTAAATTTGAACACTAGCTTTATTCTTGTTTACAAGTATAGTTCTGTCTCAAGTAATATTTTATAGAAAATAAACCTAATGACTATAGTTTTTCTTGCCCTTTAATAAAATTAACATTATGTAAAGAAAAAGTGAGTATGTTTATAGATATATGTAAATTATCTTTATGGGAAGAATGTAAAAAATATTACTTGATCTTATACAATAAGAAAATAAAACAAAATTTGAGCATTTATTATTTTACAACAAACTAATACAATCAATATTTGTTATATAAGAGTAGGTGGGTAAAATGAGAATAACGAACTGATAATACATAACAAGTTTGCTACAAGACGAGACAATTCCTATCCAATCGCTGTATACGCAGTAAAAATACAAACATCTGGTTTAAATCATAACAATAGCCTCAATAGAAATACATGAATGAACCTAAAAATAGATCAAATCGCGAGGCAACTGTCAAAGTATTTCAAAAATACGGCGGTAAATAGGAAATTGAATATCTACAAAATAAAACCTATCTGAATATGTTTGAACGATATTAGGCATTTTCTAAAGGTACCAATACATCTTACGAGATAATCTCGTATAAGGATATTGTAAGATTTTATGACAAGTGCTTTAATTACTCACCTCTGTATCACTATCGCCGTTCTTGTTCTTATCACTTTTAGTCTTCATTGCCTTCCGTAAACTTCAGTGTTCACCGAAACTTTCACAACACAGATAATCAGTTAAAATCACAAAAAAAAAACGTTTTAAACACTTAAATTATGCAGAACCGCATACCATCAACCAACTGACATGGCATGGCATAGCTTACAACTCACGAGTGAAGCGTATCGTAAGCGCCGACAACACTAAAAGTACCGTTTTTTTACACGTTGTCAAGAACGCTTCCAACTCCGGTTTATGAAGGACTAGTTTTTTGGCATTTCTAGACTCCTTGATTTTCTGGTATGAATTTTGAATAAATATCTCCAATTAACTTCCAACCCGATAAATAGTATAGTATGTCAAAAAATCATTTGTCAAATATAAAAGCAAAACTGTTAAACAGTGTTGATTGTTGTGATTGGCTAAAATGGTCATGTGATCGTTAATAGAGTGACGTTTGTATTTTTGAGAATTTACTTCGTTTTATTTATTGAAAATGTTTATTGGCAGTAACTAATTCATTATGATGTGTTTTAATTTATCATAGACAATTATTTATTCAGTATATTAAGGGCATACTTTTCTTATTTCTTAATGGTGTCCTGTCATTACCAACTGACAATTCACACACAAAGAACCTTTTTGTGTTGTTAATGATGTTTTGTTCTTTAAATAGCTTTCAAGTGCCGAGAGCCTCTCTAGCCATTTATAAATTTTTGAGAGTTAATCATATGAGGAGTAGGTATTCCTAAGAAAATTGTTGTGTTAAAAATTAAAAATGAATATTTATAATTGTAAATATCGTTTTAATCTTCTCGTCTAGGAATTAAGTTACGTTATTTTATAACCATAGTGGCCATTCACCATTAATAAAAGTTTGTACTTCAGTCATAGAAATACATGGTATAAGTAAAACATGAGTTTTTTGTTCTATTATATATTAAAATAACTTGCATAAATGTGTTTTCTTATATCATACTTTAGAACATATAATTCCTTCGTATAATTTTTTATTAGTATTTTAGTTTATAGAAGCATTATTTAGATGTTGCGATTCTTCACTTCTGTTGCAATTTAGATTTATTCAATAAATATGTGATGTGTGCTGATTATACGTATGTACATATATATATTTACGCTTTAGACAGGCTTGAGACTGCGTCTTGCTATTAAAATAGTAAACCCGATACGGCTCACTCTATGGTCATTATTTTAAAGCATGAAATAAAGATGGCGCTTAATACAAAGGACCACCCAAAACCAAAAAGGGATTTTTGATGTACGTGTTGTATTCTATATGGTCATAATTACTGCTAGGCCGAATAAGATAAAAAATATCATTCTTTTGATATTTATTCGCTGCTGTAGTCATTATTGTTATTTATTTATGATTTTCATGAGCATTTTTTGTCACAATGATAAACAAAGGCTTTTATAAATCAAAATGTAAGAAATACATTTTGTTTGGTTGCAAAATGATATAGAACGAACGAGAAATTGAAAAAAATTAATTTATTTTTTATATTTTAACTGGACTCCTATTACGAATGTAGTTTTTTTTATTATTAAAATACCTACTTAAATCGCTAAGTACTGTATTCAGAATTTTTGAAATAAATAAACTTTAGAATAACATTTATTCTTTTAAAGAATTAAAGAGATTTAGAGTACTCATTTTTAACCTGTATGTAGCTGTTTATGCAATGGATTCTGGCAATTTGGGACTAAACAAATAAATTAAGGGGTGTCTAATTATGTTATATTATGCTATTATCGAACTGCTCTTCAAATATCAGTACTTTCTTGCCGTTTTCTTTCATTAAATGCTCTGGACGATTTTTATTACCATCAAACAGTTATTTGCGGTTAATAAAGTTTATTTGTTCTGGCTTCCTTTGTTAGTCAGTGTATTTTTGCACCATTTTTGGAAACAAAAACACAAAAATTATTGTTTATATTAGAAAACAAACACAAAACACAAGTATATTATTAACATAAACTATATTTCAACTCGTCTTTAAATAAATGAAAACTAATAACTTAAAAACATTTCAGTAAAATTATTATATAAATTACATAATGACTCTATATATAATGTCTATTTTTTCTTAGCCTTTCCACCCTTCTTCTTAGAAACCCTATATGGACCGAGTTGACGACGGACCAGAAGGCCTCTCCACCAAGCCTGAACCATTATAGCAGACTTGGTCATCTTCTCTCTGTAAGCGCGAATCTTTTCACGTTCCTCTTTAAACTGGATCCACATCTTCATCAGCTGGTCGTGTTTTTCGATCTGTTTATAGGAAAAAATAAAATAAAAATGGTCTATCATCATTATCATCAGCTTTTCAAAGCCCACTGCTGAGCAAAGGCCTCTTCTCACGTGAAGAAAGTCTATCATTGGGTAAAATTTTATTGAAAAATTGTATGTATATAGTATATAGGTATATACTGCACTAGCTTTTTGCCCGCAGCTTCGCCTGAGTGGAGTTCGGTTATATCGCGTTTCCAAGAGAACCTTTCCATAAGTCTGGGATAAAAACTATCCTATGTTCTTTCTCAAGGTCAACTCTATGTCTATATCAAATTTCATTAAAATCAATTCAGTGGTTTAGGTGTGAAAGCGTAACAGACAGACAGATAGACAGGGTTACTTTCGCTTTTATAATATTAGTAGGGATTGTGATCACGATGGCGATGATAAGCTGGTTGGAGAGATTTATGGTGAAGAGTTGTTAATTAATAAGTTAATAAAAATATATATGTTCTAACCGTTTCTTCTAAATGGATTCTCTTATCAAGCATGTCGTAGTATTCATTTTTCTTAATCTGTATCTTTAAATCTATGTTCTCCATATCCTTATCGTATTTTGCCATCCATTCTTCTACTTTTTCGAGAGTTTCCTGTTACAAGAACAACATATTAATGTAGACTAATTACTCATAGAAAGTTCACATTGTAAATGTCAATTCACATTAATTGAAATGCTAAAGAGCAGTTCAATTTCCGCGTGAACCCGTTGTTCATTGTCAGCTCTGTGCTTGTAGTACTCTATGATTGTGGAAGGTGCAGCTTCTTTGTCGTGGATGGCCTGATGATGTTGTTCAGTTCGAGCAACTTGCCAACGATCTACATAGCGACTGCATATCTCAGCGTGAAGAGTTGCATCCTATACCAAAAACGTCAATCAATCTATTTCTTGACCAATATTTTTTATCAGCACAGGTCACGTATAGTGGCCAAAACAATTATAATTATTGAAGAAATATATACTATCTAGATTTATAAATAAAATAATTTATTTTAAGTATCTCCAAAATACAAACTTCGACTTTCAAATTGAGTTCCTCAATAACAGCCTCTGTGTCGTAAATGACGCTTTTCATGTGATTCCGTTGTTGTCTCAATTGTTTGTTCAATTCTTTTCTCATTCTATAGATAATAAGGTTTTAAATTTCTCATATTATTGGAATAATTTAGATGCTTAATTAGAATTGCCACCGACATTCTATTCCTCGTTTCTTCTTCTGCGAGCTCCAGTCTGTAGTTATCAGTGCTGAGGACGCCGTTGACGTGATCTTCTAGGGCTACATAATTCTTGCTTTGTATCAAATTCTTGTAGGTTGCTACTATCACATTGATTACCGTCATCCTGTATTAAAAGAAATTGCTGAATTCTCCAATATAAAGTAAGCATAGAAGGAATAAAATCATTAGAATCTTTGTTTTCTCTTGTCATTTAGAAATTTTCTTTTCATTAATATCATTTAAGTCATGGCACACAAATGGCCAATGATAGTTAATTGATTCATAATTATAATAAAAAAAACACTAAGTACATAGATTCCAGTGAATTCGGTGTAAATAGTTGGTAAACCTGTCACTATCTAGTTTGTCTAGTTTGTATTTATCTATTTCTAGATTGTGAGGATCTATATCTTCTAATTCATCAGTAACTTCTGGTTGCTTTATACGGTACTTCAGTCTTAAAAGCATCGCCATATCCGAGTGAGCTTTTTCAGCTCGCAACACATTATTACATTCCACTAAAAAGATATAAGCAAAAAAATTATTTATGCTTTTAATTAATATAGTATTTATTATATGAAAAATAGTCATCTTACGCAATATACGCATTTCTGTCACAGTATCTTCTAAAATTGTAGCGAACAAAGACGACTGAAGGTATGTCAAACTGAAAAATAATTAATGTTATAAAGTAAGCAATTCATAACTACAAATATATTACATAATATTGCACTAATTCACGTGCCCATAAGCTTTCAGTAGGTATAGTCATAGTTTCATTTACTAAGAGCATAATTTTAAATTACTATTTTACTGACAGTAGACAGGTATGCTTAGCATAAGATCGCAGAATCACACTACATACGAAGCAGTGAAGGTTTTTCATTCAATAAACTACTTTAATGCGAGATTTATGAATATTGGTAGAAATCCGTATGTAGGATGAAACTTGGAGTAAACATACTGCTATCTTATGCCATGACTTCACTCACTCGAGATTACAGATACGAAGATTCATAAAGATATTTTAAATTATTACTAATCAAAATGGAACCAAAACATAATACAGAATTAATGTCGCGTTTTCTTAAGTAACTAAAAACTGTCATTTGCTAGTCCACTAGTCAAGTTTTGAGAGCAGTAAGTTATCAATAATTTCTGTTTTATTTTATTTACTTTTTAAACTGTGTTTTTACCCTTTTTTCTCATCGTTGTTGACTTTAAAATCACTTTCGTATTCTTCATACTCATCAAATTCTTTTGAGGTGTTGTAGCTCTTCTGAAATTAAATAATTTTATTATATACTATCAATTCAGGGCCATTTTATGTTATTTTATGAATGTGGGCAAAGTTTTTGGTACCTACTTACTCTATGTTTTTATTTAAGTATGTATATAGTTAATATATTTTTTTAAAAAGATTCTGACTAATGCTTCTATTGTTACTCGAGTTAATATTAAAATAATAAATCTTCTATCTCTTTCGCAGGAATCTACGTAAGTTTTACATCACCTATGAAATGATGGATAGATATATAGAATTAGACATACACTACTATAATATAAGAAATTACCCTCTTTTGGAATCCATTCTCGTACTTATCAGTATTCGAACCGAAACTCCTAGTTTTATTTGGAATACTTAAACTCGGCATTGTAAAAAAACTTAAACAATCAACAAAAATCAGACGTCATTTGAGTCAGAATCGCAATAACAGCCAGCTTTATAGCTGTTTGATTTTAACAATAGAACTTTTCTACAATTATAGATAATAAACAAGTTGAGATATTGTTCTACAATTGTATTATAAAGAAAAAAAATAGGGATTTCTTTCAACATGTGTTTTCTTTATTTAATTTTAAATAACATTAATAACTGTCTGCAGTAAGCCTATTTTTAAAAAAAGGGGGTTTCGATTTATTATGAGAAAGGTGGCAAATGAGTAGACGGCCTACGTATTGGGCAGTAGTCATAAAAGGTGTTGCAGATACGAGTACGTTGCCAATATTGGTTTTTGAGGATGTAAGATGTTGGGTGGGAATAAGGAAATTGTAGGAAAGGGTGGGAAATAGGGAAAGGGCACCGGCTCTCTCACTCATCGGACGAAACGCAGCCATTAAAGACTTCTTTACGCTGATCTCCCGTGAGAGGGTGGTACTTTTCCGAATGAGCTAGTCCATGTTCGAGCTGTAGTAACGTGACCACAGCGAGGCTCTACCATCTAAATAAGAAGACCTAAAAAAATCTCAAAAAGAAAGTAATGCACGAATGAGATCCACATTTTTTTAATCCTATTTTCTGTTTTAATTGAGTGAGGTCATGACCACGACTTAGAGCCATATTTTTACCTTTATATGAACTTCTTTTGTAAGTTTTTATGATGTATTCGATAAAATAAACACAGATGATAGTTAAAAAAATCTATTTATTAAAATAAAAATAAATACAAAAGTAGTCAAATTTTTTATCTATTTTTGGAGCGTTAAGTTTATTTATAACTCTATTTAAGAATATCTTTAAAAAATATAAAATAATTAAAATACAAATATATCAAATTTCTATAAAAAATATATCTAAACATACATAAGAATAATGCTTTTATAAAAAATAAATTAAGTAATGTATAAAAATCTTTAATAGTGTAAAATTTATTTCTTCTTTTTTTCCTTTTCCGGTTTCCTTCTCAACACTACTTTATAGGGTCCGAGCTGGTTCCTCACTAGTAGTCCTCTCCACCAAGCTTGTATCGTGATGGCTGAATTTTGCATCTTTTCGTGATACTGACGAGCAGCTTCCCGCTCTTCCTTGAATCTCGTCCAATTTTTCGCAAGCACTTCATGATCAACGAGCTACAATAAATTATTAAGAATTTATTTTAGGTATTGTTAGAAATTATTCACGGAAGAATCCCCAGACTATCCCCAGTATTTCCAAAGGTAACATATCTAGGTGAGAGTGAGTTACATTATTATATAGAGGGCGCTAGTTAATTATCATAAGAATTCCCAATTAATGACAGAATATAAATAACGTTAAACTGAGAAATGTTAAGTACCTCACAATTTAAACTATTATAAATAATTATTACTGATAGTATAATTAAAAATAAGTGAGTATGTATGGGATTATATGAGCTTTCTGTTTAAGCTATATAAAACCTTTCTGTTATAATAAAATTAATGTAATTTCTAACCGTTTTTTCAAGTCGCAATCTCCTCTCGTATGTATTTTCGTGGAGGTTCTTTACTTTCTGTATTTTCAAATCAATTTTTTCGATGTCCGTGTCGTATTTCTTCATCCACGTCTCTACTTTTTCTATGACTTCCTGAAACATGTATTTATTTTTTTGTACAAAAATAACTCTTTAGGGAACTTATCTATGTATATAATTGCTGACAGTTGTATTAAAATGAAACTAATATTTTTGGTTTTTTATGATGAGTGAGTGACAATCACATCTCGTCTGCCCGTGATCACGGTCGCTGTAAAGTAGCCGAAATGTCGGGAGTATGTAGTTTATAGCCAAAAATAAAAAATCGCGTAATAAAATCGAAAATATTAGTTTCACTTAAATGAGTGCTTTAGATCTCAGTTGTATAAAAAATTTCTGGGACACCAACGAATATTAAAATGTATGGAAATTGATCCCAATTTAAAGCAGTATAACTAGGCATTTTATTAAGGTAAATTATACTGGTTTGCATTTATACTGTACGTATAGTTCATGAAACTTTATATTAATTACTTGTATCTTAATATTAAACAGCAGTTCTATCTCCGAATGCACATGTTGCTCCTGTTCAATCCTCATCTTGTATTCTTGTATTTTATTAGTCGGAGGCGTTTCCTTGTCCATAATAGTCTGCTCGTGTTGTTCAGAGCGTGATCGTTGCCAACCCTCGACGTAGCGATTTCGCGTTGCAGCTATTATTTCTGCGTCCTTGAATAGTAAAGAAAATCTATATTACTTGTTACTAATAAGCATTTGGTTATATATAGGAAATAGGTCCTAATTTGTAGGCAAATTATGTTATCTAACTCGATAAACTGCAATGCGTATTGATTGATTTGATCAGGAATGAAATCCGAGGTGCTCCTAAAGATTTATTTATTTAAAGTACATATCATAATTTTGTTGTAACCGTAGCCCATGCAATAATGCAATAACCAATGCTTCTCAAAATAGTCAAGTGAAAACCGAGTTTTATTGTCTTTATTCATATATACTTGGGTGTATTAGTAACAAAAATATTTTATTTAGTCTAATAGAACATTTTAATTGTACAAAAGATTATTTTTCTTTTAAGTTAAAAACTAACTTTTTAAATAATTCTTGTTGTTAATAACCTCCCTTCCACCTACGTACATATTATTTCTCGTTAAAATGAGTTACATTATTTTGTACTCTGTCGCTGATGGACTGGTATTAACAAAACCTAATTAAGAACCACTGCAAGAAATCTGGCTTAAAAAGGCAAAATTTTTATCAAAACCCGTCAATTCGTTTAACTAACAACACTCATCATTCTGTTTGGGGGATTGAATAGGAAATTTTAATTAATTTTTAACGTTTTATAGTGTTAAATGTTTAACTACCTTTCACCTGTACTCACCTGTAGAGACGTTTTGAGCACATCTATGGCGTTGTTTTTATCATACGTTACTGATTTGAAATGATTACGTTGCTGTCGAAGTTGGCGATTCAACTCTCGACAGAGCCTTAAATAATAAAATATTTTGCCGTAATAAAAGCCCAAATTATCTAAATAGTCCTTTTTACACACAATACGCTAGTAATAAGACAAATATAACTAAGAAGATTTCATTAGCGAAAGAGTCAATTATAAACCAATACGTGTGTTGCGGAAAATAGTTCAAGGATTATGAGTTTATATTCTTTTACTTGCAAGTTTACCTTTGATTTTAACTTCAAATGATTTATTTCTATAAATAAATACCTTTACATTGATATGAAATAAAAACAAACCCTTTATTTTTGGCCTCCTCCGTTGTCAGATAGTTCAGTCGGTCATTTCGCTCCTCAAACATAAACACGGATTGTGCTAGGTTGTCGAAATTATGTTTCATTGTTAAATTGAAGTAAGTGTCCTTCAGAATATTCATCGTTAGGTCCCTGAAAGATATTATATAGTGATAAATGAAACCCCAAAGCGAGTGGAATTATATGTATGAATATTTTATGTGAAATTTCTGTGAGAAACTAACAACTAAAATAACACATTAGAATTTAACTATCTTAATACTACAATTTCTTCTTGAAGTGTAAATGCTTTCACAAATCCATTTTATGATATGCATTCGTACAAGTAGATACCATATTCACAGTTATAAATGTACCAACTTTTAATTACCAGGATATCCCTCCTTGGTAGTTCTAAATTTGTCTTAATATGTCCTTTTTTATATTTAAATAAGTAAACAGTAAACCAAAATTTCATTATACAAATTATTACGTTTATATTGGGACTGTAATGTATATTAAAAAATATACAGGGTGACTGGTGAATTACTATCAATATTTAAGGAGAATACTCGGTACATGATTCTCATTCGAATTATGTAAAAAAATAGGTACTTAATTTTTGACCAAATTTCCGTATAAATAAATAAAGTGTGTACACGTTCCAAGTGTTCCAAGTGTGGACGCGTGCGGCGGCGTGCTGATACAACACTACGCCGCCGCCGCGTCTGTGTGAGTGTGTGTGTATACCTAATCTGTAGGGTAATCACACGGTGCGTAATTAATTACATAACTTTTGGTTAACTTTACTTAGAAGTTTATTAATATTTATGTTATATTAATTTTTATTTTGTCATATATGATCGTCAAATATCACGTCCTTAAATATCGATAGTAATTCACCAGTCACCCTGTATAATACTCTCAATATTTCCAATTCTTTTACTATGAAAATATATATACGTATTGACTTTGGAAAAGTGTACAGATATGTCATTACCTATCCGCTTTAAGTTTGTTCAAACTATACTCAAGACAACCGAGTCTCTTGGGATCTATTCCGTCGAGTTCGTCTTTTATCGCTGGTTTTTCAATACTGTATTTGTTTGAAAGCAGATTAATCATGTCCAACATAACTTTTGTAAGTTTAAGTTCCGTGTTACATTCATCTATAAAATAAGAAATGTATTTTTATTATAGTTACCATACGTGTTAACTTAATTCTTTTCTATATTATATAAATATATTCGTTACCAAATATTCTCAGTTGAGTGATGGCGTCTTCCAAAATGGTGGCGAATAAAAATACTCTAAAACACGGCAACCTGTGGAACATTTATTCATGAATTATTAATTAATCAATTTAAATACATTTCATAGATATAATAAAAGGATACCTATTATCATCTTCATCTGACTGCTGGTCCTAAAATTTCATAGAATAAAGTTAATATAATAGCTAGAAGTATAAAGGTAGGTTTAAAAATATATTGGAAACGTTTCTGAAGATAAGTCAAGTACTTATACAACAAGATAGATTAATATCTTTTCAGGTAATTGATACCATTCTTAGTATGAAACGGTCTAAGAATAATTTGTAAGATTTTCGTTTGTACAAATTTAAAATGAAACTAAGTTTTTCGCAACACTACAGCATCGTATAGTATTTTTTTTTTCATTTTCCCGATATTTTAATTGCTTTACAATCATGATAACGAGCAGAGATGAAAGTGTCTGTCAGAAAGACTTGCTATTTCTCTGATAATGCGGTCTAAGAGTCTAAGTTCACTCTTAGACTAGTAAGCATCTTTTGGAAGTTTGGTGAGCATTACTTACTTCATATTCCGAGTTCTGGTATTGACTGGCTCGGCCCCAGTAAGCGCTGGCGGCGCTGTACCGCGCTGTAGGTGTTGATGTCATTTTCATATAATTTTATACAAAAACCAAAATAAAACATTAATTAGAAAACATTAAATGCATAAAAAAAAATCTTTTACAATTAAATGTCACATTCGTGTCATGTAAAAGTGATTTAAGAAAATATCAATGAAAGATAGTATAAAACAAAAAAGGTCCAATGTTACTTTCATTGTACGGAAAGCCTTGGATTTTCATAAAACAAAAGTATAGAAAAAAAATGTGTGTCTCTGGTCTCTCGACAGAAGTGATGATTTGAACTATTAAAAAAATTGTTTAACTTATAAAAAGTATAATTTGTTACATACACTTATTATACATTAAATTAATAATCTATTTCTGACTAATTAGACTTTTACTGGAAATACTTTTGCCGCATGCATGTATTACTAATGCTATATGTGTGAGAGAAAGGAAAACCAAACTCAGTGGCGTTACGCGTTACGTTACGTTACGAAACGGCCGACCTTCCAATAAGAAGTAATCACTTGAAAAAGTTTTTTTTACAATAAATCAATTCATTTAATATAAATTTATACACAAAATAATCGTGTATGGTCTAATATATAAGGGATTAAATAAAAGATAATTTATATAAGAGAAAATTTATTGCCAGTTTCGTCCACGTGAAACGGGATTCGTCTAAGTCAGATAAATAACTTCGGGGACATTTCACATAACGGCTTATAAAATCATAAAAATAAAAAAAAACGCTTTAAATACAAAGCGGGGATTCACAATAATACGTCCCATACATTAATACAGTAAGTATTTTTTCAATTTAATTATACATATGTATCTAACTACAGACGTTATTTACATAATTACATTCATAAATTATTTTATCTATGATAAAAAAAAAACATCAATTTCGAACACACGTACAATTCGTATGGACGAAAATTAAGTATAAAAAAAAAATACAAAAAAATTATATATTTACTCAATTACCATAAAGTCATATCCACATTCAACTGGCAACATTGAATTATAAAACTAATTAAATACTGGCATTGAGCTTTATTGGTAATGAGGCGAATAAATATAATAAATATATATACAAAGATATAGTCTTTATGATATTGAAAATGTCATCAGTCTTCAATAAAACAACGCTCACTGACGCTTACATACACAGAATGTAAGTAAAGAAACAGCAGAAAAAGAAAGATAAGGAAATAAGATAACATCAGTGAACAACAGAAACTATAGAATAACATAATACTTTTAACATCTATGACTTTCAGAACTTATATACAATAATAATAAAAATTAAAACAAATTCATATTGATTTGGACACGGATGAGTAATTTTTCTAGTGAATGTCAATATGAACTGTACACAAATGAGTTATTTTCTAGTATATGTCAATATGAACTGTACACAAATGAGTAATATATATTTTTTAAACTTGCATGTCTCTCAGCCATCTGTCGATACAGTTCATAATCTCGTAGATTACACACATAGCTATGAGATGTATAATTGTGTTTAAAATTTGTATACAACGAGGCGAGATTGTGTACAATTGACATGCAAGTACACGGTTGAGCAGTAGCTGCTCGGAGGGCCGGTATCACTTGCTTGATGACGGCTGCCCGCGTTCTGTTGATAAATATTGATATATTAAAATACATATAATGAAGCATGATTAAAAATAAAAACTAAGTTAACGATAAATAATTTTTTAACAAATAATTCTTTGTACATGTTTAATGTTAGTTTACTAAATAACTTACTGAAATTCCTAAGGGCCTCCTCACGTTCTTGAGAGTCGAAATACCACAATGTGATCGCGTATCTGTAATGAAATACAAGAAAAAATTTAATAATCTGTTAATAAAATAAGAGGTTAATAATACATTATTACAAGGTCGTTATCATTGTACACAAAAATCGTCATCATAGTTTAAATACACACCTCGTTGAGTAAGCGGGCTGCACTTCGTGAGGATTTCTTCGATCTGACCAGAAGAACAGCATCCGGTCGAAGATTGGAGCGATGTCGGCCACCTGATTGGTTCCTTCGGGGAATACCCTGGAAATAAAATCATGCTTGTCTTATTTCTTATTTACATAAAAAAATCATCATGACTGTAACAGGGCTTTTTTCTTTACAAAATTTTTTAAATACTTTAAAACTTATAATAATATGTTAAATGCCAAAATATAGAGGATAATTTAAATAAAAACGAGAGTATAACAATAAGTCGTATTAACAATACAATATATTTTAGATAATCTTAAATAATGATTAGAAATCAGAGGAATATATTTTAATATTCCATTATTCATAATTTCACCAAATATATATTATCGTCCAATTTATTGCAATAACTTATTATACATATACATAATACTCTGAATTTTTGATTGATTTTTTCTTTCTTTTATTGTCAGCATTTTTATATTAAATAAAACATTAAAAAATACTGGTACATTAACCATTATAACATCTGTGAGAAACAAAACTCATATCACAAATAACTAAAATTTAAATATGTTTAATAATTTTTTATAACGTGTGCAGTAAAATATTTCAGTCATTCTAACCTATTGACGTTATAAATGTAATCTTTGAGATTTTAATACACAATGATACTTGAATTATGACTTAAAATTATTTCATATATGTTCATAAAAGTTATAATCTTAAATAGGCAAATATGGGTACTTTAGATGTGATGTCCTCAAATAACATAACAGTATTTTTCAAGGTCGGCAAATCGGTTTTCCACTTTAGTAGACACAATGAAGCACATCATAGAAGATGAAATTGTAACATGTATTTTGATTATACCAAAAATAATATTTTTATTTTATGTTCTTGAAATCGTATCAAATTTGAATACGTATTTTTATAGTAAACTACTACCAATATAAAACATGTAAAATTAAAACAAGTCTCACATACACATCAAAGTCTTTATATGTCTTTATAGTACACACCTGAGCAGAAACTTGTACAATAATAAGAAAATATGTTTTTTTGTACACACCTGAGCAGACCTCCACATCTCTTGACATCCCAGTCGAGATTCAAGTAGTAGATGGCTGTGATGCAGCGGCCATCTTTATTCGGATTGTCCACGTGCTTGACGTAGTGACTCCCGGAGCCAGGATAACATGCCACCATCGCCTGAAGAATATATTATGTTAGTGATACGCAGATTACATAAACATTTTGACTTTTTAAGAAATCTATTTTTATACAGGGTGACTGGTGAATTACTATCGATACTTGAGGACGTGATATTTGACGATCATATATGACAAAATAAAAATTAATATAACATAAATATTAATAAACTTCTAAGTAAAGTTAACCAAAAGTTGTGTAATTAATTACGCATCGTGTGAACACCCTACAGATTAGGTATACACACATACACACACAGACGTGTGCGGCGGCGTGGTGTTGTATCAGCACGCCGCCGCACGCGTCCACACTTGGAACACTTGGAACGTGTCCACACTTTATTTATTTAAACGGAAATTTGGTCAGAAATTAAGTACCTATTTTTTTTACATAAATCGAATGAGAATCATGTACCGAGTATACTCCTTAAATATTGATAGTAATTCACCAGTCACCCTGTATAATGTATGTGTTGATTTAAAATAAAATTAATATTTTTCGAATATACTATGGGATTTAATTTTTGGTAAAAACTACATAGACCACTCTCACATCTCGTCTGCCCGTGATCACGGTTGCTGGAAAGTAGCCGAAACGTCGGGAGTATGTATGTAGTTTTTATATCAAATAAAGTCGCGTAGTATATCCGCAAATATTAGTTTCATTTAAATAAATAAGACTCTCGAAAATCTTAGATCTCATAATGGAATAATCGAAATTAAATTTTTGTGATCTCAAACAATTTCATAGTTTAGATTTTAGAAGATCAAAGTTAAAAAATGTGACGAGTTTGTTTTTATAAAAACGCATGGTAAGTGTACAGAAGTATATGTTTACATCGTCACACTACCTACGGATAGCAACAATTTTCGTATTTTTTCATACTACACACATTAATGGATAACGTAGGTTCTTGAATGACGAACTGAAAAAGATCTTTAAGTAGTGAGAGACGTAAACTTGTGCTAAGCATACACTATGCTTATAATTCAAAATACTCAAACATTTAATCAGATAAACGTCACGTACACGTAATTAAGTTCTAAGAATTTAATACAATACAAAAATACTCAATTGTACACAATCGAGTAACATTATCAAAGATTACGTTGCCAAATGAAATCTTTGCATTTTTTAATGTTATTATTGTACATTTTCCTGTAGACGGGTAATAAAATTGTTGTGAAATTTTCTATACGAAGCCGTCGGGTTTTTCCCTTTCAATATACATACATGTCCGCTGACTCCCTTCACACGAGTTCCATGACATACATGTTTGTTTTCATTATTTTCCTTGTATATTTTTTATTTACCATATCCATACAAACATATTTAATATCGAAGAATAAACTCCTGGCAATATGTATGGACTAGTTTAAGAAAAAGACGCACTGAATCCGAGTTATCGTACGAGAAAAATACCAGTAACTATACCTCATGTTGTAATTTATTAATTTAATAATGTTCGACTCGCTTTGTCAAATACAATTAAGAACGACCGCATTCAAAACAAATTTCATCCAAAAAATCATCGAAATCGGTCGATTTGTTTAAGAGTTACGATGACACACACACATAAATAAACATACACATATATATACATACACACACACACATAGTACCACAACTAATACCTTAAAGCCATTTACCGTTTACGTAAAAATCTGCATAAACTTGACTATACGTAATAAAATATACCTATTGCAAGTATGTTTCATTAAAATAAAAATAAACTTTATGACGACATAAATAGAGTTTGAATTACGTTAAGTCGAACGTTATAATTACTCGACCTACTAGCTGTTATATAAATGGCTGGTTTGTTTGTAAACATTAATTATAATTAATTAATTTTATAATTATGTATAGATGACATTATATGAATTTAACAATAAAGATAGTTTAAATAGTTCTTGTATTAGAATTTAGAAGTATTTTATATCTACATAATCCTATTTTTTCATTAATAAATCTGACCACACGCTGTTTAATGGAGTTTTTTTCATTTTGACTATGACGTAAGCATACAAGCATTTTTATTAAATATAAATCATTACAAGGGAAATTGAATTAAATCGAAAATTATATCCTTAGTATGAATATTGCTTAATTGTAAATTTATTCTTATTGTTAAGGAATTAAAGATCAATTTACATTGTCAGCATAACACGTACCTAGTTAATTTTTATAAATTTGTAAATGCTTATGAACGTAATTATATTTAGGAAATTTCGATTCAAACAAAATGAGAGTAAGGTCATTTGAAAATAAAAATAATGAGAATATTTTACTGTTTACATATTTGAAATAACAGTATCAAAGTAAATACAATATATATATATAATACATAGTAAATAAGAACATATTATGTACACAGACTTATGTACCAGTAAGTCGTAGTATAAATTTAAATTTGTTAAAGAAACAAATGCTTACATTTTATGAACGCTAAGTAATACATATATTCTAAAACATAATGGAAAATGTTTTTCCCCTTTCAAACTCATACAATACAAGACCGCACTTGAAATACTCTTTACGGTTGTCTAAATGATAGAAGCCAAGTTTTATATCTATATATTGTGAATGGTTAACTGACTCGTTAGAACAGTAATTAAAAATCTTGTGTTATGAAATTTTTTCATACAAATCGATTAGTTCTGACTTCTGAAACATTTCACTTGAAACTAGTTGTTAAAATTGAAGTCAAATTCACTTAGATTATACCAAAGTGTTACCACAACGATCAACCATTGTAATTTTCAAACAAGAACAGTGTTTGTTGTGTGACGATTGACGCCTCAACGTTTGTAAACACAAGGGGCGCGTGTGTTACACCTCCCTCCCCCCCGCCCGCCTCTCCCCCGCGGCCGCCATGACTCCGATCACGTACGCCGCTGCGAGCACTGCGCATGCGCACGCCCTTATCAATAAAATCCCTAACGATACATTTTTCGCACAGATAACGTTTAGAAATACACCTAGATTAATATGACGACAAATTAGTGCGTCTCATTGAAGGTAGCCATTATCATATTATTATTTTTTTTATCTGACCGGTTTCAACTAGGTTTTACAACATTATACGAGTCTAGAACATAAAGCCGGCAGCCGGCCCTTCACGACTTAACTAGATATACGTCCTTGGAAGGACATTACATTCCATTGCAAATTCCGTTCTTACACCGATTAAAAATAATATTTATTTATAATTCGTTATACAAATAAATAATTCGATTATTCCATTGCAACTAGTATATAACATTAATTACTGAAATGCATATAAATCGGTATTTTTAATAACTTCTTATTTAAGTTAGAAATCAAGCGAATAAAATTGATTTACACATACATCAGCACGAAGTTTTAACTTGAAAATATTATACAATAATATTTCTTAACTTCAATAGATAGACAATTGTAATTCAAATGACAATAATAATAAAGATATTTCCATAATAATATGCTTTTGTTATAGCAACAATAGATTTTTATATTTCATTATGTACTCTAATGATTTTCAAAGAGCATATTCATATATCTGAGACCACACAAGCTTGGTGACGTCATACTAATTGGCATTATCTATTAATTAGCCGAAGTAGATTAAGGAAACGAGAGATTAGAAGTATAAGCATTACTAGAAATATATTTGTATGAGAATTCATCTAAATATTGTTCAATGTCAGTCAATGGTGGCCTAGTGGACAGTGGTTAAATGGCCCGCCTCTCATGCTAGAGGGCGCGGGTTTCGATCCTGGCCCCGGCAAGTACCAATGTGATTTTTCCGAGTCATATGTATTTAGACATCACTAATTAATGCTGATTCCCAAAGAGGGTTGATTTCAGGCAGGCGGCCGGTCGTAAAAACAAATTAGCCAAAACTATTCACCACATGTAAGGCAAACCCTGGCTAAAGCTGGGAAATTGCCAGGTAGAAGAAGAAGATATAAAATGTTAATCCTAATTATTATAGATGTAAAATTTTTCATTTATAAGTTCCAAACTATAAAATTAATGAGATCTAAGACTTCGCGAGTATTCATTTAAATGAAACCAATAATTTTCCGATATACTACGCGTGATTAATTTTTGTAAAATACGACATACTCCCGACGGCTACTTTTCAGCTACCATGATCACGAAAATATTAGTTTCATTTAAATATATTATTATGTGAATTCTCTGTAAACCACAATTTACACAAAATTTCCATTAACAATACGATCTTGTTTTCTGCTCGTGACGAAATAAAATCAGAAATAGATTATATGGAGTCGCAAATAACTTGCTTTTAGTTTGTTTATTGTGTGTATTATTACAAGACCTTTACACGATTACGTTCGTATATGTATAGATGGAAACTATTTATGATTTACGAAAAAACTCAGACTAAGAACTTAGGCTGTACATATCCCTACTAATATTATAAATGCGAAAGTAACTCTGTCTGTCTGTCTGTTAAGCTTTCACGCCTAAACCACTGAACTGATTTTAATGAAATTTGGTACAGACATAGAGTTGACCTTGAGAAAGAAGAAAGGATAGTTTTTTATCCCAGATTTTGGAAAGGTTCTCTTGGAAACGTGATATAACCGAAAGCTAGTAACTGATATTTATGAACACGTATTTACTATCGGTTTAAAAGTAAGAACCGGTAGTAACCGGTTTATCATTCATAAATCTTTTCCGAGATAGTATTAACACGTATATGTGAATGTACTCTATACTATCTGTACGTCGTACGTCGTGGCAAACCTGTGGTAAGTATTGTTGAAAACTATATATTAATTTTTTTATTTAATATTTATGTTATAATTTACCTTCGTCCTGCCATTGATGATGTAATTCCCCATCTTCCCGTTGTTGGACATTTTGTTAGCTTTCAGTATAATACTGTCCACCTGGAAATATTAAATGCAAAAATTAAGTCTATTTGATACAGTTACATTAGCGAAAACTTTTCCAAAAAAGATTTAATCATGTATTTTTATATTAGATTATGTAAAAACCTATAAAAAAGGGAACAATAGTATCCCAAGAACTGTTTTAACTTTCATGAATTATCAACAACTGTTTCTATCCTAAGACTTCCAATATTTCAATAGAATGCAATGTTTTTTAATACCCTAATCTAATTCTTTTCTACATTAATACACGTATAATTACTAGCCAAAATATAATTATAAGCATTATATTTGAACGTGACCCTTCCACATATATCGCGGAAGGTAAAACCGAATAAATCAGTGAGTTAGTTAATGGGCTAACTGTCGTTAGTCACGTTTACATCTGAAGGGCTCAAGGTTATGTAACGCGGCAAAGACGTTGACCTAAATCATACTTTCTAAATGGGACAATATAATAAGATGTTTCGCTTTCTATTTCATTCTTTATACACATATTAGTATAAGCTAGAATATTTTTCTTTAGTAATATTAAAGTTTGTCGATAACTATGCGATTTTATTTTCATATTTTTCCGACGTTACAATTATATCAACCTATATTTTAAAGAGATCACGGGCAGAGATGATTTTTTTTAGTTCCATTTGTTAATAGCTGTTAGTCCTAATGGAAAGATGAAAGTATGCAACACGAAACACTTATACAAAAATATAATAATTAAAACGCGTAGCTATAACCAAAGATTAGTTTCATTTCACATTTTTTATTTTGGGGTTTTTAAGTCTCTATCTTTAGTATATATTATGTATATCAAAATGAAAAACCCGCTGAATTAAATTGAAGGACGTTCGAACTGTAGTGATACATTATATTTTTTAATTTTTTAATTCAGTCGATACATCAATACCGAAAGTATAATATACCGAAAGTATTAAACGAAATTAGGCGTGCAACGAACTATGTATTCTCAAACTGAAGAAGTCGAAGATAAAAAACGGTTTTATATATAATATGAAAGAGAAGCGTTTGTTTGTATTGAAATTATTTGTTCAGTTGACGTCAAAAAAAATACAAAAAAAAAATGATTACACGGAGAGAATTGATGTAAAAAATGAAATGTTCGAAAAACTAATCTTAATTAAGAAAAATCACCAAACACAGACACACACACACACACACACACACACACACACACACACACACACACACATATACATATACAGGTTGACTGGTGAATTACTATCAATATTTAAGGAGTATACTCGGTACATGATTCTCATTCGAATTATGTAAAAAAATAGGTACTTAATTTTTGACCAAATTTCCGTATAAATAAATAAAGTGTGTACACGTTCCAAGTGTTCCAAGTGTGGACGCGTGATACAACAACACGCCGCCGCGCGCGAGTGTGTGTGTGTGTGTATACCTAATCTGTAGGGTGTTCATACGATGCGTAATTAATTACATAACTTTTGGTTAACTTTACTTAGAAGTTTATTAATATTTATGTTATATTAATTTTTATTTTGTCATATATGATCGTCACAAATCACGTCCTCAAATATCGATAGTAATTCACCAGTCACCCTGTATATTTAAGTTAAAAATATGTAATTGAACCCAATAAATTAATACATATCCGATAAGTATGCTATATTTGGGATTTCCTTTGAATCAACGGCGTCAGTGTTATCTTTTATCTTTATTATCTTACTATCAAGTCTGCATTCTAAAGTTATAAATACGATTTTAACTAGCACTAATTTCACCTGATTTCTATATAAACAATACCTTAAAAATAAATTATTTTATTAAATATTATGCAATATGACCTTATCACTGTTTTAGAATTGGTATATCCCATTATATTATAGGTAGGTATATTATTTGTGAATGCGTAGTAAGTATTCACTTTTAAGTTATAATAATATTTTATAAATACTCAATCGTATAAAAAAATGAGATTTGACAGAAATATTACGAAGCATCATAAGACTTAATTCCAGTTAAATTTTAACAGTATTCTTTAAATTTCTACATCATCACTTCGGAATTAAATTTAATATATTATTTTTGCATATATATAACTAGCTTTTGCCGCAACTATCCAACACAAAAAGAATTATTCAATTCGAACCAGAAGTTTCGGAGATTAGCGCTTTCAAACAAACAAACAAACTCTTCAGCTTTATAGTATTAGTATAGATAGATTGTCGTATTTCATTGCTTAAGTACCGCTGACACAAAAACTATCCTTAAACAAATAAATTTCAAATCACATATTCAACACAATGATCTGCTTCCATAACTTGTTTTAAGTCGACAAACAAAATGTAAGCGACATTCCGAAACAAAACCCGCACGCATTAACATCGATAAGCAATGGTCGCGGAATTAATGTTATGTTTTCAATTGACCACTAGGAACTGTTAGGTTCAACAAACACTTGTGATTTGATGTTTATAAAGAGGATATCCAGGTTCGATTTCCGTTAGAATCTATACATATTATAAAGCTGAAGAGTTTGTTTGTTTGTTTGTTTGTTTGTTTGAAAGCGCTAATCTCCGAAACTACTGGTTCGAATTGAATAATTCTTTTTGTGTTGGATAGTCCAGTTATCGAAGAAAGCTGTAAGCCATATGACATCAGGCCCCGATCAATAGGAGCAAAGATATAGTGGTAAATGTGTAAAAAACGGAAGAAATTATTTCATCTTTGAAGCCTTCCGTTGCGTGCGGCGTGAAAACGGTTCAAGATACACAAAAAATATGTATAAAAGAATAATAACTCTTTTAATGATCTAAAAAACAGTCCGCGACAGTATATGTCTATCTTTTAAGATTAACTCACAAAAATCGTTTTTATGGTACCTAATTTGGTCGAAATAATTTGTTTAAGTTGTATCAACATAATATTATTTTTTATTCAAATAAACAAATAAATATGTTGTTGGTTAAGAGTACTTCATTGTGAAAAAAAAAACATAGGTTTTATCCTGAAAATTCTACGGGAACTCGACCATTCCGAAAACCCCGCAAGAACGGGAACTATGTGGGAAGAACCAAAAATCTGCCGGAAGTCACTATTCCACGCGGACGCAGTCGCGGCAAAAGCTAGTTATTCATAAATCACAACTTATATTATTAATGCGAAAGTAACTCTGTCTGTCTGTCTGTTACGATTTCACGCCTAAACCACTGAAAGGATTTAATGAAATTTGGTACAGAGATAGAGTTGACCTTGAGAAAGAACATAGGATAGTTTTTATCCCAAACTTTTGAAAAATTCTCTTGGAAACGCGATATAACCGAACTCCACGCGGGCAAAGCTGCGGGCGGAAAGCTAGTTCTATATAAAGAAGGAGGTATATTAAAATATTATTGTATAAAATTAAATTTAGTCTCCCATTGTGATGTAAACCTATTTGACAACGGTAAACGGTCGTGCTAAACGCATAAAGTATTGGCGATTTGATTTGCCATTAGTTTTCGGTATCGAGGTTACAATGAGAATATTTATTGTATACTTGACATAGATTTGTGTCAAAAAAATATTATTTTCGCGAAAAAATTTAACACAGTATTTATTTGAACCTAGTTTTTGCCCGCGACTTCGTCCGCGTTAATTTCATCATCTTCTTCTTCTATATATACAGGGTGACTGGTGAATTACTATCAATATTTAAGGAGCATACTCGGTACATGATTCTCATTCGAATTATGTAAAAAAAATAGGTACTTAATTTTTGACCAAATTTCCGTATAAATTAATAAAGTGTGTACACGTTCCAAGTGTTCCGACTGTGGTCGCGTGCGGCGGCGTGCTGATACAACACTACGCCGCCGCCGCGTCTGTGTGAGTGTGTGTGTATACCTAATCTGTAGGGTGTTCATACGATGCGTAATTAATTACATAACTTTTGGTTAACTTTACTTAGAAGTTTATTAATATTTATGTTATATTAATTTTTATTTTGTCATATATGATCGTCAAATATCACGTCCTCAAATATCGATAGTAATTCACCAGTCACCCTGTATAAAAATGGATGGCTGTTCCTTAGTCGCGCTAAAACTCGAGAACAGCTGAACGGTTTTATCTTAGTTTTGAAATGTTCGTGGAGGTTCAGGGAAGGTATAAAATCTGAAAGAAATTGATTCACTACTGGGAAAACCATAAAAACAGCCCTTTTCTATTTCCCATACAAACGGTTTTTTTTTGACATTAGATTTGACAACTAATATGTCAATCATTCTGTCGCACTTCAAAACACGCAGATTTATGGCTTACAGGTAAACTCCAAAAATATAAATAAAAAACGTAATAGATATTTCTTGATTATAGGGCGATACGAAGTTCGCCAGGTCTTCTAGTTAGTAATATATGTATAGCTGACCGGGCGAACTCTATTCCGTCCTAGAGGCCATAAATAATCAGGTTTTTCCTATTTCAATCGAACAGAATGATTGACATATTAGTTAGTTGTCAAATCTAATGTCAAAGAAAACATTTGTATGGGAAATAGAAAAGGGCAGTTTTTAGGGTTTTCCCGAAAATGAATCAATTTTTCTCACCTTTTAAACCTTCCCTGAACCTCCATGAACATTTCAAGACTAAGATAAAATAAATCCGTTCAGCTGTTCTCGAGTTTTAGCGAGACTAAGGAACAGCAATCCATTTTTATAAATATAGAAGACTAAATGATTTTGCAAAATAATCCAATTTAGGAATAAAATCTTTATATTCTCGGTAAGAAATATTTACAGCCCATGTCTGATCCTAATATCTAACTATATTTACTGTAAAGTTTCATCAAAATCGTTTAAGTATTTGTTGTATAAAAGAATGACAAACACTCATACATACAAATGTTCTCATAATTTCAATCCTATGAACTTTAGGTATTATTATAATAGTCAAATAATATATATATATATATATATATATATATATATATATATATATATATATATATATATATATATATATATAGTAATATTTACTTGTGATATTAATTGTCCTATGTGATGGCACTGCGGCTCCTTGCCGTCGATCCATGTTATTCTGTCCGATCTGATTGTCTGAGCTTCTGTGCTTCCCGGACTAGAAACCAATTGACCTGCCTACAATAAACACATAGGAAATTATTAATAACTTCTATTGATACTTGATGAAAACAAAATTAGAGAATAAAATGACAAAGTGAAAATGATATAATATGATTTATGTTTGTTAATTCAAGATGCCTTTTCAATAAATACAAAAATTTCTTTAAGATTTCATTATGTTGTATTAACAATAATTATAATTTATTTTATAAAAATTATATATATTAATAAAATTATATGAATAAATCTAATGTTTATCTAAATATAAATAGTAGTATTATTTAAAAAAAACAGTTTGAAAATCTCTAAATGGAGATATATTTATTAGATATAAATGTTGAAAACTAGTTTATGTACTTCAAAACTCACCGTAAATATCCCAGATCTATACATTTCTAGCACTTCATTCAACACAAGATGTCCCCGTTCTTTACCGAGGAAATTGTTTATAACACACACACCATACTGGGTCATGTCTCTAATCACTCTCTGGCAGATCTCATAGGACGGATCACTTGGATCCATGAAGTAACTGTTCATTGTGTTACTAAACGGAGCCCCGCTACCCTTTAATGTGGCCTCGGGATACTCCTTCATTCTAGTCGCTTGCTCGATAGGTACAGGTGGCATTTTCACATCAGTTCTGTTGATCGTTTTTAAAACATTCGAAGTGCTCGCACTCGCGAAATCAACGCTGCTCAGCTGCTGCGCCTTCTCATTTAATATCTCCTGTTCCGACGAACCTTCGTACGTTATGGCACTTATCTTATTTACGTCTTTATTAGAGTAAACTACGCTCGAAAACACACTTTTGTCCTTTAAATCGACTTTAACACTTGATGTGCTTTCATTATTATTTTCTATAATCTGAGATATATTTTTGTTATCACTAATAGTGTCACTACCCTCTTTCTTGGCAGTTTTCTTTTTTGATTTTTTCAAACGTCTAGTTTCACTACCCACTTCTTTATTATTATTCACTACGGATGAGGTTATTAATTGTTCTGTTTTGGTTTCTTTCTTTTTCTCTTCTTCTTGGACAGATGATTTAATATTTTTCTCAATTCGTGAACCCTGTTCCTGTAACTTAGGTGCACAATTGATTTTATGCCTTTTCCAATCCTGTCTTTGATGTTCTGTGTTACAATAATAAACACTAAAACAACGACCACATCTCCTTTGGGTTTGCTGATTGCAAACGGCGCAACTCGCAAGTACGCCTTCTTGATTCATTCTGATTCTAAAATAATTTCCCACTAGACCGGCCCTTCTGAACTTACAACAGCTGTCATTCTAGAAAGAAACGTCATCTAATCTTTTTTACTCATATTAAGGATTGGATTCTAAGACTTTGAGGTTCGTTATATATTGTTTATCAAGATTTATAAAATATATTAATACCTTTTTTATGTTTTAATACTTATATTTTAATTTTTGACTTTAATTTTCCTTTTTTAAAAGTAATACATGAATTATTAAGAAATTTCACAATAAAATTGCTGTTTAGTTAGGACATACTGTTTTAAAAAAATTTGATTTATTGCATATTGTTTCGCTAAAGTTTTGTTTAATTAATTTTTAATCTTTAATCCAGATACCCAATAATTCCAAAAAGTATGATGTTATTAATGTATTTGAACAACTGATTGATAAATAAATCGAAGGTTTGACCAGCCCAGTGAAAATAAATGAATTATTTCCATAATCCAGTAATTTGGTTCAAAAACTTAAATAAGTCACTTTAATCATTATATACGGAAAAGCGGTTACAAATTGGTTTCATCATGCAAAAAAAATTTTTTCTAAGTATTTAATTTTACCTTAAGAGGTTACAATTTTTTTCAAATCAAACAAGGAGATGTAAAATTAGATCTTTATTTTACATAAAACATAATACTTTATATTTAATTTCATATATCTTTAAACTACACTTATATATTATAATTGGAAAAATCTGTAATAATAAGTACATATAGAAATTATTGTGAAATAAATAATGTTTAATATCTGAAATTATTTACAAGAAAGTGAATTTGATTTAATTATTGTTGATTAAATATATATAAAAATGTGTTTATAAAGTGAGAGACTAGATTAGTTCGACATCCAGTCGCGTTGTTGTATAGTAAATAACAACATCGGAACGGGACGAGAGGAACTAAGGCGCGTATAGGCGTTCGTCGCTTCTATCGACGCACGTCACTTCGCTATTTGACAGCTGCTACTGTCACATACTAACTAAGAAGACAATGATTTAAAATGTTATGAATTAAAAATTATGATATCAAAGTATTATACAATTATTAATAATGATAATTAATGTGAATATTATAAAGTGTGCTATTAAGAAAATGAATAGTTCTTATACTTGTAACATTGCAAAACTGACCAAACTTAACAAGATACTAAATTCGTTTAAGGCCCATTTCGGTCTGTATATACAGATAAGTCACTTATTAGTTTAAAGAAGGTTAAGTTAGAATAGACATCACGATTTTCTATCCAATTGGACCCTATTGAAGAATACAAGGTTATATGTTATGAACACGTTTCCGAACGTAGTTTTCTACAACATCATGATAATTTTTGTAAATCTCATATTAATCTTCTGTTCAAGTCTGTGATCTCATAATATTTATAGATAATCTGTACATAGTGTATTAATTATACATTTTGTTACATAATAGTACAAGATCAAAGTTTTTGATTGTTTATAGATCATGTTTAGTACTTTAATTATCCATAGTTAAGTACTAAGGTAGGTGAAGTTGAGTATAGCTATGTATTAGACTCTATCATCAGCATTTGCTGGTAATACAGGGGCTGGCGGAGCGTGTAATGCTCTAGCCAGTTCGGCTTTCTCATCCGCTGATAGGACATACACAGGCGGCGCGGGAGGGAGGAAACGTTCAGCTTTATGAGGTTCTCGCTGTAAACGTGCTCGGTACAACATCACCAGTACACAGAGCACGCTGATGATGAACGCTGAGGTGGCCGCGAGGACGATCAGGGCTGTGTGATACGATGTAGCAGCTGATACCTGGACAATATAGAGATACGTCACAATATTATTAATGGCCATAACATTATTTTATGTTATTTTTTTGTAACATAGGGGGCAAACGAGCGGGCAAGCCTGGTGGGAGATAGTCATAGCCGCCCATTAAACAAGGATATAGAATTTGTTGGTTGGTTCGTTGGTTTGTTGTTTAAAAAATGGCTTTTATCCTTGCAAAAACGTGCACAGTTGACAGTAAATTCTGCCAGTGTCATGTAGAATGGAGACACGATCCGGAATTAATTAAATAGAATTTGCTATAGATATCATTTAAACATTTCTTTGAATAGAATGTCACAGTTTTTAACGAATGATAAATTTCGAAACATTTCTGTCAAAGTCAATGTCATTGTCAACTGACCGTCGATTCACTGAGTATTTCTCTCTGTAGCGGGCGCGGCGGCGCGAGGCGGTACTCGCTACGAATCACATCAGCTCCAAGCACTCCGTCCTCTGATTTGTTGGCGTTTAAAAGTTTCTCCTTCTTCACCTGTGTACATGTTAAGCGAGCGAAACTTGCATATCATATTGTGCCGGTGTCAATAATTGTATTGATCTTTTCAAATTTAAATAAATTCTCTCAAATGTACCAGTGGTAAAAACGTATCTTTTGGACATAATTTAATACTAACATTGTCAAATTAATTACATATAACTCAAAAAATTTTATATTTACTACTTCTTTTTACTAGAACTCGTCAATTGTTCAAATGTAAGGTATTACATAAAGGATTGTTAAGGCTTTTTGCTATTACCTGTGCTTCCAAATGATAGACCACGTCAGCGGCTCTTGATCCTGGCAACACCGCTCGAAGTCTCACCACGCCTTTTTCTCTTGTCATAGTCACTGGTACTTGAACACCTAATGCTGATAGCTTCGTTGTAAGAAGATTCTGAGTCTTCCTTCCGTCTTCCTCTGTACCGATCAATTCCAGCTCAAGAAGAGCGGATTCGATTTGGGTGACCTCTGGAAATTAAATTGCACCATTAATTGTGTTTGAAATAAAATTACTTAGAAAATAACAAAATATGTTTATATAGAACATAACTAGATTATAAGCATTACTAAATACTTATTGCGAATGTTATTGGCTGCAACAGAACAGAAAGACGTGCACAGTATTCTGCTAGTGTCGTATGCGAATGTTATTTTTAACGTCTCGGCGACTTGACAGATATGTCAGAAATGCAAACTCTAAGCCGCTAGATTTTAGCCAGTGGTTCAATAGACTATCCGTTACTAACCGCAAGGGTCGTCGTGTGTGGTGTCGTGTCGTGTCCGTCCCGCGGCGTCTACACACCAGCACCTTGTTCTTCCACACTGACGGGCAGCGAACGATCCGTCAGGGTGACAGCGGGGACGGTAGCCGTCACCACCTTTAAGAAATATACATAAAATATATCTTCACAGACAAAAATATGTTAAACGTGACCTATACTAGGATATAAGATACTGAGTCTTGTATAAACATTAATTTGATAGCTGACTCACTTGTCTCATTTGATCATGACCTAATTATTATTGATTTGTGTCCCATTAATATATTTAAAAGGTATATTTTTGACTTCATTGCATGACAGTTTATAATTATGGTTCTTCTTCGATCTAAGGATCCATCGATTATTCCAAGATATTTCATTTACAAAGATAATTGTACTAATTTGACACACACAAAATGCTAACTATAAAAAGAAAAAAAACATAAGAATGACATTTTACTAACCATTATCAACTTCTTCCTGCATCAGTTGACACTTGGTCTTAAAACCAGTTTGTTCTGACACCGGAGTCACCAGTACCGGTTGTGTTTTTCGTATAGTTTCCGCAAGTTTCGGGACCACGACCTCCGATAGCACGGAGCTATCTTCGCTGGACACATCCTGGAGGTCATTGCCCTCACGGTGTTCAGCCTCCAGCTCTATGGAGTCTACTTCGTCTTGTTCTTCGAAATCGTCTACTCTGTATGTTGTCATCTGCCTGATCAGTTCTTCTAATACTGGAAAATTATTTGTCAGGTTAACATTCTGTTAGTACCCAAATAGATTGACAATTTCGAGTACTATTTCTAGTTACGAAGAAGTAATAAAAGAAAATCTTCTATATAAATATATTGCTGCATTTTCTTTCCAAAACAATTTTGTTTAATCCTACCCTCAATATGCTTTATTTTCCTTAACTACTATCACTCTAGAATATTTTGAAGAATATTTTATATGTATACCTTCATCGGCTCTGTCTTTTTCATCCAGCGGGTCTCGTCGTATCCATTTACGTGCTTGTCGGAAGTTGCAAGACGGTTTCCCTCCGCGGAGCAGCGAGCCCTTTTGAGGTTCGCCACGAGCATTCACGCACCAGCAAACATCTGATAAAAAAAATGGTAATTGTTGCTGTTAAATTGGAAAATAAACTTTTTTATTGTGTAATTTGGTTGGTTGTATTAAATGTGGCCTTCATCCGTGCAAAGACGTGCACAGTATATTTTGCCAGTGACATCTAAAAAGGAGGGCATACAAATTTGAGTACATCCATGCAGTCGAAACCATTAAAGATGTGTGTTACAAGTCCAAACAGATTATATAAAAACACATGACTTTTAAAGCTATTCGTATACGTACCAATATGCGCCATACACTGCACAGACTGCCAGGCTCCATTCTCTTCGCAAGCAGGTATGAACGTTCCCTTTCCATATTTCAAAGCAGCTGCTTCGTTTTTCTCTCGTAGTCTTTCGCATGGACTCAACACTGCAAAAATTAAATAAGGCATTTAATATTGTCTTTTTTGTTTAAGTAAATAGTACTTTATTATTTGTTTGGACACAGAAATCTTCAGCCAGTCAGTGACGAATATGAGGTGTTTCAGCATCATGCATCGAAAACGTGTGTTCAATTTGTTAGTAAATAAATAAATCTGTTAAGGCTCCTAATCTTTTCTTTTTTTATATGTTAGAGAAAACATTTATATTAACAAAACAACCATGCCTTCAGTGTCATTGCACACGTTGATGGTCTTTCTTACTTTCGGTGTTGCATTTCCAACTGTCAAAATATTGTACCAGTATAGATGGAATTCTTATTTATAATGTAAGTCAAGGTAAGTACATAGTTATAAAGGAAATCAGGTATTAAAAGATTTACTTATTTTTTGGTACTTAAAGAGGAATTTAATTTATTAAGTAGGAACAAAAGGATAAGAAGAATTTAGTATTCATTAATCCTACCGGGACAGACAGCATTGCACTCTTCCTTAGTCCGGAAATTGTTGTGATTCCCGGAGCAGCCGTGGTACAGGAAACGTTCGCATCTGTTCTTCGCTGAGTTGAAATGCCAGCGCGTCACGTTCAGACCTGAACCCTCGCATATACCCTCGTCCTTGTTCTCCAAACACACAGTTCCTAGAAATTAATTACATTGAAGTCGTTTTCTAAGTTTAGCAAAAGATTTATTATAATATAAAAGATGATATGAGATAAAATAAGACCATTTTTACATATAACTTCATCATATAATATTTGTTTATGGGAGCATTAGCAATTAATTCCAAATAAGATTATAACATAAGATTTAATAACTATTATGACTTACGAGGCTTTGGACAGCAGACGGCTGGTTTAGCGTCGTGGGGGGCGAAGCGACAGGCGTGTGTAGAGGGACAAGCGGCGGCGTGGGGGCCACACGGCAGGGCTCCACCCCCGCGGGCAAGGAGAGGCTCCCCTGACGGACACTGAGGAGACGGCGAGCAGCGAGCCAGCGGTGGACATGTTTCACCCTAAATATAATGAATCATTTTTTATCAAGTCATGGCCATTTGCTTCTTATGTACCTAGTGAAACTGTGGTTTTGAAAATTTTGTCATAATATAATATGTATATAATTTAATTACTCAATGAATAAAAAGTTTTCATATTTTTTTAAATATATGCTTTTATTTTTCTCTAACTGTCCACTCTTTGTTTAAACCTCAAATTAGCCAAACAGATTTTGAAAGGAAATTAACATTCAGATGGTACTAACCTCGCATTCTAAAGGCACCAGCTCGCAGGTCTCGTCTTCTCTACATTTGGCTTCAGCGCACGGGTCTTTACAGCTGCAAGTTGGACACCCCTTTTCGTTCAACTCCCGGCCGTGTGGACATATTTCTTGTTCATCACACTTCGGGTCTGGACATTGAGTTGGCGCGGTGCAGTTTGGAGAGGAGTTGTTTGTACGAGTACCGGTGATCTGAAGTAAAATGAAATTTCATGACAAATGTTTTTTTTACAAATCTTTAGTACAAAAATGTTTAGATAAATTCACTACTCTACTGAAATTTTGAAAATGTTTACAAAATTTGGTTAGTTATAGTAAATACAGTTTTGCGAACCTCATTGCCAACGCTGTCCACGCACCAGCAGATGTTAGTAGATCCTCTGCACTGAATACTTTCATACGAGCCGTCTTCGTTACAGCGAGGGACCCAAGACCACGAAGGCGGGTTTCCGCTCTCCGCAGCCGTGTGTAAAGCCAGAGCACTGAAAATAATAGTTATTAGAAAATATGACCAGATATTATTATACTATTGAATAATCAATCTGTGCTGATTAAATCTATTCAGGATGCTAATTTTATAGGTAAAATGAATGATACTGAGAGGGCAGCTTGGGTAAGTTTAAAAAATGTGTGTCTTAACTTTATAAGAAATAATAAAGGTGAAAATTACAGAATAATAGTCGAAGAATTAGCATTGTTTGAGGGGACTATGGATTTTTTGCAATTTACTCGAAATTACGGCCTAATTTTTTAACGGCCTAATTTACGGCCTAAACTGACTTGAAATTTGTATTCAACGGATCGAAAAAGATGCTCGTAATTGGGTGGAGCCCGATATACAAACATTTCTATGAAACTTTCTATATAATTATATGTACCGTCTCTGTTGACAGCTAGTCTGTCTCAACGGTTCAGCGCAGGCTGTCCCGCAGCCCGTGGCGCAGCACCTCGCGTCACCGCCGCACTCCGCGTCCGAGCGACACGACCACTCACACGACCCCGTCCATGGCACCAGATACGGACACTGACCTGACTTCCGCGGGAGACCTGTTCCATGGATATCTCATTTCTAATATACCTTATAACAAAGGAGTTTCTGTGCATCATATTGGATAGTTAACAAGTCTTCGTGGACACTTCAACATTGTAACACAAATATAATATCTACTAGTTTTTGCCCGCGACTTCGTCCGCGTTAGTTTCGTCATTAGTCCTTCATTAGTCATTCTAATATATGTATAGCTGACTATTCCATTTTAGAGGCCATTAATCGCCATCGCCAGTGCCTTGAAAATTCGCAAAACGGACACAACCGTCAACTCGGTCTGCCCTCATGCGTCTGTCGCGCACTCAGCGATAAGCCACTTCTTCCCTACCGCACCTACCCCGCTCCCCCCACGCCCCGTTCGCCTGGCACCGCTGCCGGTATTTATCGCCGAAATTGCTATGACTCTGCATTTTAAATCTGTGATATCTTCGAAAATATTTATTTAATTTACATGCTGTAAAAAGCCATATTGATCTTTATTAAATGTACAATGTATTTAGGGGTTGCGGGGGCGTTAACAATGGAAAATACGCTTTCACGCCTAAATCACTGAACTGATTTTAATGAAATTTGGTACAGAGATGGAGTTGACCTTGTGAAAGAACATGGGCTAGTTTTTATTCCAGACTTTTGAAAGGTTCTCTTGGAAACGCGAAAGCTAGTAGTTTATATAGCTTTAAATATGTAGTATTTTCTACATCTCGAGGTTCATCATATAATTGTTTTTTATTGATACTCGTAGTCTATGTATTGAACTTACACGCAGGTACAGGAGGGCAGTAATCAGCGTCGCAGGCGACATCTACGAGGGCGCAGGCCCGGCCGGTGGGGCATGAGACACCAACACAAGGGTCACGACATTTACAAGTGGGGCAGCGTCCGGAACCCAGTTCAAAGCCATAGTCACAACCCATACGACACGTCAGCTCGAGACAGGAAAGCTCAGATCGCACCCTAAAAGAACATATGTATGTTTTTGTAACTTCTAATTGAAATAAATAGCTTTTCTGACAGATAATTCCTCAATAAAGACTCACTTATTGCAGTCCACGGCAGATGCGTTGTTAGTGCTAGTTTCGGGTATTTCAGTGCCGAATGAGTCGACGCACCAACACCGTCCACCAGCACACTGCTGCGGCGTGAAGCTGCCGTCAGGGTTGCAGCTCGGCGCTGGTAGTGCCAACTTCATGCCGTCCACCGTCCCTTCCATCTTTTCGTCGAAGTCTCGGAGGTATTCGCACACTATTAAAGTTACAAGGAATCTCTATTAATTTATCCTATGTAGGAACAAATTTTATTCATTAGAACATTGCAGTACAATAAAGGTTAAAATATTAATTACTATTATTAATGCATTTTATGCTAGACTTCAACGACCAAAATTTGAAAATAGTTTTCATCAAGTCAATTGTGGCCATTGATACGTATTTTGTTAATACGGGTTTATAATATCGAATTAAAATTAGTTATTAAGATACTCACTAGAGGGCGTATCGTCAACAATATCGGTCTGCAGTCGTAATTTGTCTTGGTCCACACACACAGCTCCACAGCCGGCCGTCATACAACACTCCAGGTCTTCATCACACACACCGTCCGAGCAGCTGGTTGTGGAGTTCAGTCCGCAGAGCGCTTCAGCCTCTGGACCACACGCTTCGAAGTTGATCTATACAACAATATATTTTATCTTACTGTCTAAATTCTTCTGGAAATTGTATTGGTAAAACGATTTTTAGATCCATTGGAATATACCAAATTATTCATTTATTTGAATACAAAGTTCCATGATCTTATAATTGCTCAACAGTCTATTTTATCCTTCTTACCTCGAGTATATCCGGTTCAGTGGTATTATCCGTGTCAGTATCCGGTCGTGGACAGCAGACAGCTGGTCCGTGTCTCCCTCCGTGGGTGCAGGTATGTCCCTCCCCACACTCACCCCCTTCCCTACAAGTTAAAACCGCCCCGCGCTCGTCTGTCGCTGGTACACCCACTAAGCACGGATTCTCATACGAGACCTTTGGACGGCCTGGTACAGGATTAATTAATATTTAGTGTTCATAGTCCATATTTTTAACTTCAAATATGTACAAAAGTAAGATGCAATAAAAACTGTTATATATGTATTTATTTGAAACTAATATTTTTCATCATACTACGCGACTTTATTTTAGTAAAAAACTACATACTCCAAACGTTTCGGCTACTTTTCAGCAAACGTGATCACGGGCAGACGAGATGTGAATGTACATCGGGAGTATGTAGTTTTTTACAAAAATAAAATCGCAGTAGTATAATCCGAAAAATATTGGTTTCATTTAAATGAATAAAAGTTGCGTAAATCTTAGATCTCATTAACGGTTATATAGTTTACATTTATGTCAATTACTAACAGACGGGATATCCAGTGCAAAGTTCTCCAGAGCAATCAGCATCCCGAACTCGCACACACTCCTCTCCCTCTGCACAGGGGAAGCCAGCACAGGGATCATCACACTCGCAGCTCGGACACCCGTCGCTGCCTGTCTTGTAGCCGTACTCACAGACCCCGGCGCACAGGGCCCTGGCACAGGAACTCATACTCCTAGCACCAGTACGAGCTGGATGAGGCTTAGCAGAACACTTCACGGTTTCCGACGGTCCCATAGAGCCACGAAGTTTATTGCCGTCTGTATCCACACACCTTTTGTGATAAAGTTCTAGTTTAGTATTCTAGTTTAGTATTCGGACCCCACGATACAGGTCTCCTAGTGTGGGGTCCAAAGATAATCAAAATTTTAAAATTTGCTAAAACCATAATGCACCTCAACCAATGGAAAACATTGTAATAGTTTAAGTTTAAGAAGATTAATTGTATCATTATATGTTAATCTATTATTATGTAAGCATTGTGTTTTTTCAATAAAGTTTATTTATTTTTATAGTACATTATTTAATTTTTAACTTATTATTAATTTCATTTATCTTACCAACACACAAGCCCATTTCTCGAGCACTGTTTCGATAGGAAGGACCCATCAGACGTGCACTGCGGTACGTATCCTCTACCTTCTTTCTCGCTCACAACCAGTAATTCAGCGAGCATTTTTTGCTGAGTGCAGATAGTGACGTTGTGGGGTAGAATGCAATGTCTCCCACATTCACCACCGTCGCAGCATTTCTGCATTGACGGACATTCGAGGTCGTGAGCACAGGGAGTCCCACAGTCCATTTCAGAAGACCTTGAAGCGGGACAGGTCCCAGCTTTTTGTAGTTCAAGTGACGCTGGACAGCAGACGCCGTAGTCGTTACCTAATATGATTACTACCGTTAAGATCATCTCGAACAAAAGCCAATTTAATCGCCCACACCATTGTGCTGTGTGAATTAGCATAAAAATGTCTTTGTTCCATCATATATATGTGACGAACAATGGGTTCACGAATACAATAACATTACCAGATTCGACGAGACATTTATACAGAGGCGGGCAGTTCGGTTTTCCTGGATCCGTACCGCACAGGAATGGTCGTCTTGTTTCTGATATAAAAAGTGGCTCGCCTACAGGACATATGTTTTGAAGGCTACGACCCCTTTTACCTAGAAATTATATCCATATAAATAAAAATATTCACAAAACTTTATACAAAATATTTTATCAATATGACGAAATGGGGTATAACATTAACTTGTGCGTGATGAGACCGTAACTGTTAAAGTTCTCGAAGGACGTAACTTTGTACATTAAATACAAAGTTTTAATGCCACGAATTGTTCGAGACAATGTCAAATCTCTCTTCAGATATTTTAAATACATAGTTGCGATACTTTGTTATACGCCGAATAAATTGTATAGCGTATATAAAAATTTACAAAGGATATACAACTGCGAATTATACTAATTATCTTTTGATTTTAAAAGAAAACAAAGTTTTGAAAGCCTGCACGTGATAAATGGTTTATTATTTTACTTACAAGTCGGCACTGGGGGACATGGTGGTCGTAAGCATGGTATTTCTTCCAACTGACATGATAGTTGGTTGGGACAGGTGATAGTGGAGCAAGGGTCGCGACACTTGCAGAGCGGACAACCATTAGGGTCCAGCTCGAAGCCGAGTGGACACAGCATGCGGCAAGTATGCGCCGCACATGGTGCTGTTCGTGAACAATTCACTAAACCCGCTGCGGGGGCGCGGGTACCCGGCACCTAGTGAGAAAATTTACTTTAATTTAGTTGAGGCTTTCGTTTCATTTGGATTTTTCCATACTTGTGACGATAGTCATATAGTTAATTTAATAAAGTTAGTAAGTCATTGATTTTTTTTATGTCTTTGACTTAATCGATTTCTTTTTCCATGAGAAAATATTTAGAACGTAACCAGCATATTAATTTATGTTCGTTTTATAGGATGTAATAAATGCCTATATTGAAGGATTTTTACTCTTACACAAAAAAATGTATTAAGAAGAAATCAAGTGATGATACCTCAAAGCCCGCGGCGTCCACGCACCAACACGAGCTTATGATCTCGTTATCACATTGTATCTCTTCAAACTCTCCATCAGAGATTTTGCAGCGAGGAGATCGTAGGGTCCTCATCACACCTCGACCGCTGCGTGTGTTCTCAGCAGCTAGAGCACGGCTAATTCGTTCCGAAGACAGTTTTATGTTCTCACATCCTGAATAACAAATAAAATTCATTAAAAAAATTACATTAAAATCATGTATTTTTCTTTTAAACTGTCTGCAATCATAGAAATTCTTAAATCACAACGTTATCTTTTCGCTTGAATACATCGTGCTCGTTAAATCAAGTTCTTCTATTAGCATAAATTTGTATTCCAGGTCACTAGCCCACGTTTTCAACGCGTCTAAAAGTAAAAGTAAAAATTACACCACCATCTTGCATTACGAGACATTGTTCGCTATACGTACATATATTTTGTGACTATTTAAACAGTTTTTTTAATATTATATAAGTACAATGGTATCTATTACAGAGCTAGAAGGAATTTAATTACGTCTTACCGGTGTATAGCGGGTCTATACAGGATCGACCACAGGAGGTGTTGCAACAGATCTGATTGCCACAATCATCGTCGTCATTACAAGGCGTAGCGCGTGGAGGACAAGTTCCCTCGTCAGCCGGACAACGGCCCTTCAATTCAGCGCTCACTATGATCAAAATATATAAGAATAAGTAAAGTTAATGAAAGGAGAAATAACGCTAAAGTACTTCCATAAATGATCAGGAAAAACTATGTAGCAAAATCGACTTTTTGAGACTTAACATTGCGTACGATGTTTTAAATTTAAATTTGTTAGATGGAGAAAATAATATTAACAGAGAAAGAGAGAGAGAAATATTAAGATGGACATGTTCTTCTTCTTTAATTAGGAGAAAAGATTTCATCATGATTTATATAGGACTATGCTGTTTGTAATTCAATACAACTCATGAACTCACCTTGTAATATCACTAGGCAAGCGCAGACAAACGCCACCCAAACAGCTTTATGCGCCATCGTCGCATTACAGTTACGACCACTGTAAGAACAAAAATGTTACATATACCCTCGTAGAAACTTAATGATGTAAACTTTCATCTCGTATTACTTTTAACGCGAATACTGAACGGAAATGAGAAAAGTAGTACAAAAATGCAACTTATATCTTAAAATATTGTTTAACTTTAAAGTATGGGTCTTGAGAGTCTGGTATAGCGTTACAAAATGTTATTTTCGCCAAAACTTTTGTTTGGGAAAGGTAAATTCGTTATTTTTATTATAATTATTATAACACCCAGTTTTCTCGTATCTTTGGCATATTTTTATATAGAGTTAACATAGAAATATTGTTTAAAAAGAACAATCGAAAACTTAAATAGATTTTTATTTCATACAATTCTTTGAAACATTATATACTATAAAAAAATTTAAAGTATTTAATTACCAACATTGATAATTGAATTATTCATTTAGTTTGCTATAATTCTAGGTATTTGGAATTGCAAAGAGGTCAAAATTATCTACTTCTTTCAAACTCAAAATGTATAAAATTTTCTTTAAAAAAATACAAAATTTAATATAGTTTCATCATTGAGAAATTTCTCTCAGACAGCCATGGCATTTCATTATTCTATAATCACGACTGATATTACTTACTTCTACAATAAAATTAAAACGAAATGGAATGAAAATACGAAATGAATTCCTAAAACGTTGAAGTTTGAATTCACAGCGTTACTATTTAATTGAAATATAAATGTTATCTGTGCTTCAATATTCTGAAGAGTCAAAACCAACTCAATTTAGTTGACGTTTGAATTGTTCAATCTAAAAACATAAAAAATTCATAATTCGTTTATTCACTAAAGTTAGGTACGCCGTGATATCTTTTAATTATTTTAAAATTTAATTAAATTTATACATGGCAACACTATACTCGTATATTTTTCACATTCTTCGAGCAAACGTTTACTTATCTAAATGTAGCTTGCGTGTTATGTGTAATACCTACTTACACAATTTCACTTCAAGTGAAAGTTGGGATAAGAATGTGGCTATTTATATTCTCTAATTGTAACTATATCTATAATATATATTGGTAATAAACACTAGTTAATTATATATAATTTCCATCTATACTTAATTATTTAAGAAATTATAGAAAAAAATGTAAATTTCAATAAAGGTACTTATGTCATTTTACCACTTATTATATCTCTATATTATTTTTACACAATAACATTTAAAAACAAAAATATTTTTTTATTCTTTTGTCTATCTCTTTACTATTCCAAGTGTTCAAAACTAATATTTTAGAATGAATATATTTCATCATTATTCTATAATTGGTTAGTAATAATAATATTAAAAATTCGTTAAGCAATAATATTGAAATCATAATTCTAAATAATGACCAATGTAATCCGTAAACGGATTTCTCTATTACAATTCAAGAACGCTTGAGTCACTTCGACAGTCGACTGTTGACTCCAAATGCAGTCGAGGCCGTGTTGAAATCAAACGAGTGTCTTAATTACTAACAAACAGATATATTTATTTTAAGTATAAGTTATTTATAAATTTTATAATCATATTTTTTGCATTAATATAACAAAGGCAATTTAGGTTAGATTGAGTAAAATTTTGATAGGAACACGATTTTGACCAATCACGAAACGTACTTTTTAAATCTTGTCAATGTCACTGGGGAAAAAGTGAAGGTTTAAAGAAAATTAATAGAAGAAAGTAAGGCAAAGGCCAAAAGGCGAAGTTCAAACTATTTTGTTATAAATAAATTTAAGTGTTACTAAGTGATAAAATATAAACTAAACTGCAAAATAGGTTGTAAAGAAAGAAAAAAAAAAAGAAACAGAGCTGTGAAAAAATATGAAATCATAAAAATATATTACTGAATTCACTTTTAGATTCCTTTTAATCTTTTTATTTCACGGAGTTAAAATTCAGGTATTTTATTACACTGCTATAAGATAATTATTTTACATTATAAAAAAGCTTTCATTTTATTTAAACTTATATATAGATTTCTATAGATGTAGTTAGTTTTATTCTTATAAAGCCTCTGAATAATTAATCGAGGTTTATTCAGTACAATCAAAGTGTATTCGGTTAATGAAACATGAGGTAATTTAATTAATAATCTTGTGAGTTAAACCTTATCAGAGAAGCAATATGATTTGGTGAACGCAATCACTATTAATTGATTTGGATTGATTAGTTATGTAATTCCTGTACGTGACCGACCTCGGACTGGTCCGTGTAAAACAAAATAGTTATCCCAAGGATAAAGTAATAATAAGTTTATTTAAAATACATATTTGAGAAAAATATTAATATTTATATGCGAAATCCTTCAGCCAGATTAATAAAAGAAAGATTTTTGTTTTCACTTATCTGTACTAACTGTCAGTAGAGTTTGACATTGATTAAGTATTTTAATCTAAAATTGTATCAGGTAAGTGGATTCACTTAACTATTATGGCCGGACCTTAATTGAACTAATGGCTAGCCTTATAATAGGAAATCTAAATTAATGTTATCAAATTCGCAACTAGTTATTAAAGGATTTAAGTCACGCGTATTAGATTACATTTTTTTTAATTTTAGCCAATGTTTCGGTATGACATTGTCGTATGACTTTTATTATTATCTGTCAGTCATATTACCTTCCCGCCAACACGTTTACTGTAAATTAAAAATAATAAATGTAACTAAATTGAAATGATTTGTTTGTTTTTTATGTTGAAATTAATAGATTTTTTTACAATATAAATAAAATATAAATGTTATCCTAAGTCGTATTGTTTTATTGGCATTTGTCATTTTGGAAGACTCCATCTTGGAAAAGTCTACATCCTACATTTTTAAATAACAATCAATATTATAGACAAGTCGACGTCTTTTGTTGCTTCCGAAAACAATTGTCATATCTTAAGGCCGGTTATATAATTTTAGGCAGAACATTGTCGTCGTGCTAATCTGCTTTCTCCTTATTAAAATATCAAATTAAATTATGTGGGTCACGGAACCCATACATTTATATCGAACCGACGCGATGTACGAATATTTTTTTATTTATTATCTCATTACTTCTCTTAATACACTTGAAATTATTATTTTTAACACATCTAGTAACTTTTTATATCCAGCCGGTTATTATTTTAACTTAGTCAAACTTCAAATTATTTAAAAATTATTGTTAAACGTAAGTCATAAATTTTCATTCCGATGTTTTACAAAAAATCTTACCGCCGACCATAATATTCCAAATTCAAATAAAAAAGTTATTAATAGCTCTTGTTGTACTACAATGGCGTCCCGGTTTAATTTATTTCGTATAAAAACGTTTTTAAAAATTTCAAAAAATTGTTACATCTGTGTTTGTATATGTTTTATAATTATGAGCAGCGTTTTGTTTTATTATTATTTATCTGTGGATTAAGTTATTATTAATGTATAAGAAAAAAAAAGTGTTAGCAAACAATGCATATGCAAAAACAAAACGCTACTTCATAATGAAATAATATCAAGAGCATAGTTGGCTTGTATTAGAAAGTGAATTACTTTTATGGTATGACGGTGACGAATCCGACTCGAGAATGGAGTTGACAATTTCACTTTGTACGAACTCTGAGCAAACGTGCGGGTCAATGAACTTTCCAATAAACTATTATCCATTGTGCATTGTTTTTTTTTATATTAAAGTTATTTGAAAGCTAAGGTTTTGTGTAATCCTGACTTTATTAGTAACTAGTAAAATTATACTATTAGTCGTTCAACTTATTCCTAAAAAAAAAATTTAAAATATTTTTTTGACATTATAGAAACTCTTCAAAATTACCTGTTTAGGTGTTATGTATTTTTACATAATATATGTTTTATTTTCATTAAATAATTTTATTTATGTTTATATGAAAACACTTTGTGTTCGTTTAGATTTTTTCTCAAGGAGTAATCTTTTTCAGAAAGAAAAAATATTGTAGTCTTTTCTCCCCTAAATTCACGTTACTGTGGTAAGAACATGCTTTTTTGTTGAAGCTGTTAATAAAAATAGAATTTGACGGCCATTGTTTTTCTCGTTGACAGAAATAAGGGTCGATTTATTTGAAAAAGTAATGAAGAGGTTTTGTTGTATTTATATTATTTCATAATTTATATTTTGTTATAGTCATTTTTATAATATATTTTTCTCTATTTAAAAAAACGAAATGTTGTATCATAAACACAAAATGGTTTTAGTATGACTGTGGCACTTAGCATTTATATTAAGTATGGGTTAATGTTAAGCTGGAAAAACCTAGTACCAAGATACTTTGTGATGGCAAAGTTTTATGCCGTATTCTTGTTTTGACTAGAGGCTGTAATTCTTTATGAGAAGTAGATGACGAAAGAACGATAGTGTTATCTTGGTACGAGGCCTCTTTTTCTGTAGAATACAATATTAATATCGCCCAATGGTAAATTTTCATATACTGTTAATGACGTCGCTTCTTTCTTAAGGACTAAAAAAATTAATACGGGGAGTTAAAAGAATTACGTATTTAGTAGAAATAGTTTAGTAGAAATTATACTATTTTATTGGAATTTTAAAATAAATCAGAAAATTAAGTTAGTTGCTGGCTAATGGCGCAAGTTTTTTTTTTAATTAAATCGTCGAATGACGTATAAATCTTAATAATTAATAATCGAAAGCTGTTCGTTCGTGACAAATAAACTTGACAGCGGGTCATTGCTGTCAGACGCGCGCTTTCACGATTTCTCTAACTGGATGTTGCTTACATATTTTATCTGTGGATAAATCGCTGACATTAAAAAAATGTATACAATTTTTAAAAATATTATATTCGAATCCAAATTAAAAATATTATCCATGATTTAAAATTAATGTGAGAAAAAATATAGAATAATAATAAATAGTGTCAATAAAAAAAATAGTTTTAATAAATTTAGATATAACAAAATTATATTAATAGAATTTAAACTAAATATTGAACAGTTTG